AAAAAAAAGATAGCTCCTTCTCTCCACAGAGCTAATATTTGTTATCTTCTTTATTAGCTACGGTTCATCCCTTTGTTCATGTGTTTTAACACTCACATTTTTTTAATACTGTGGCATTTCTATTTCTAGTATTGAAATAATATTAGCACATACTTCTGTGTCCATACATTATATTTAATGGTCACTTAAAATATTTTATGCATTTACACTATTTAATTACCCGAATTTAAACGTTGAAAAGGCTAAAAGTGTAATAAACTATAATAGATTGGAAAATTAAACAATGATAGTATTTGTTTACCAGAATTTACTTGGACTCTGTTTCTTTTACTTCTTTATTGTTGGTGTTGTTGATGGACTTTATTTTTTATTTATTTATATGTGGTGCTGAGGATTGAACCCAGAGCATCATGCATGCCAGGCGAGCCCTCTATCACTGAGCTACAATCCCAGCCCCACCATGTTTCTTTTAGTGTAGAACTACTAGAGGATGTTTAAATATTCCATCTTCAGCTTTTTGCCATAATCTTTGCTGATTGTTGATATTTTTTACATTACCTCTTGTGTTATAGGATTTTGTTAACATATAAATCTAGGAATTGAAATTCCCTAGATACTGATATAAAAGGCTGTAATAGAAATTTCTATGCTTCTGAGAGTTTTAGAACTCAAAGAGAGTCTTTTTATGATTCATATTCTTGAAGTGATACATCCCTAAGGGCACTAAATAGTTGCTTACCTCTCTTATTTTCTCATTTTAGGAAAACTAAAACCAACAGTGGCATTCATGTCAGGAAAATTGAAGATTAAAGGAAACATGGCCCTAGCAATCAAATTGGAGAAACTAATGAATCAGATGAATTCCAGACTGTGATGGCAAAGAACAAAAATGTTGACTGCTATGCTTAAAAAGTAAAAAAAAAAAAAACCAAACCTCAACAATTAAAAATCTAATGTTGTTGTCTTCCCTATTGTATGTTAAAAATGTGCATGTCTATTCTGGAAAAAAATAGATTCTATAAGACTCAAAATCGAATTGAAAGCGCCAGCCTAATGGTGCAATGGCTCATGCCTATAATCCCAGTGACTTGGGAGGCTGAAGCAGGAGGACCATAAGTTTGAGGCTAGCCTGGGCAATTTAGCAAGAGACTGTCCCAAAATAAAAAAGGGTTGCAGATATAGCTCAGTGGTAGAACATTACCTGGGTGCAATTGCCAGTGCTGAAAAAAAAAACAAAAAGTATGAAAATGGTATAGCTACTTAAAAATCAAAACAAAACATAACCAAGTAGCCAATCAAATATAGACTTCACTAAGTAGATTTCCAAGACATTCTGTTTTCTATATTTTGAGGGGTTTTCCTCTGAGCCTTATATCTCTTTCATTGTCTTCTAGTAAGAAAAAAAAAGTACATATTATGAACAACCAATCAGGATAAAGCAGTAAAATTGACCATTTTAATGATCAATTTTCTTCTGATATAAATTGAAGCTAATTTGTGTTAAAATTTTAAATTTTGGATTGTATACTAATGTAAATCTTAATGTTTTGGATTTTTATAAGCTTATTTTATAGAAAATATCTGCTTTTCACACAAGTAAACTGCTTAATAAATACTGCTTGTAAAAGCTAATGGAATAAAGTTTTTCATTTTGTTAACTAGCTTTTCAGATATAGTAATCTTCAGGAAAATATTAATGTAATTCAACTAATTGCAGTATGTATTCTATTTAAGATATGTTAAAAACAAACAAACAAACAAACCCTACTTTCTTTTGCTATCGATTTGCCTGATCTGGATATTTCATATAAATGGAATCATGTAGGACCTTTTGTGACTAATTTTTCCTTAGTATGTTTTTAAGGTTCATCCATGTTTCTTATGGTTTGGATCTTTAAAGTCCCTAGAAAAGCTCAGGTGTTAGGCAACGCAGTAATGTTCAGAGGTGAAATGATTGTAGATTATGAGAGCTATAACCTCACCAGTGGATCGGTCCATTTGATGGATTGATAATTTGGTTGGGCTATGTGATGGTAACTGTGGGCAGGTGGGGTGTGGTTGTGGTTGGAGGAAGTAGGTCACCGGGGTGTGCCTTTGAGGGTTACATTTTGTCCCTGGCTCCTTGCTCTTCCTGTTTCTCAGCTGCCATGGGCTGAGCAGTTTTCTTCTGCCATACCTTTCTGCTATGACGTTCTACCTCACCTCAGGCTCACAGCAATGGAGTTGACCAACCATGAATTGAATCTCTGAAACCATAAGCCATAATAAACTTTTCCTTCTCTAACTTGTTCTTGTCAGGCATTTTGGTCACAGTGATGAAAAGCTGACAAACAGTGTCATAGCATTGGGGCAGTGTCATTAATTTAATACAGTTGCTGCTTAGATACCCATTTTTAGGCCTGATATAAGTTATCTGGAACCCAGTTGTACCCTGTCATCTTTGACCTAGTTAAAACTTCCTCTCCCTGTGTGGTAGTTTGTGATATAACCAACTTTTCCCTCATCCCAGTGACCCAAAACCCAACATATCCCACAGCTGCTGGCCACGATAAAACTTAATAGTCAATACCAGAGTTCTGTAAATAAATTCTCCCCTTTTGCAAGTATTGTCTTTAAACCAGCCAATTCATAACTCCCTCAGAAAGTTTAGGACATAATGCCCGTAGTCCTTAATAAATGCATAGTCCTATAATTTCACTTCTCTCAACCTCTTGTCTTTTTCTTCTTTACCTGCTTCAACGAGCTGCTTCCTGCCCCCAGACTTCATGTCAATCTGTCAGCACTTCTGACTTTCCTAGGATCTGGGAGTAATAAATTTGTGTTTCATCCATTTTGTTTTCACCTCATTATGTCTTATCTAACACACTTGAACCTAAATTTCCCCTGGTCAGGACTCTCCTAAAATAGGTGGCCATTTCAGCTATGATCACTCTATAGAGAGACTTTAAGACCAAATTAGAAGCCACGGGACTGGGGATGTGGCTCAGTGGTAGAGTGCTTGCTCAAGGCCCTCAGTTCTATACCTAGCACACGGGGGAAAAATTAAAGAAAAAACGAAATTAAAACAAAAGTTGGGCAAGTGGCGTGTGTGTGGTCTCAGCTGCATATATATAATGACTTATTTCACTCAGAATGTCTTCCAAGTTCTCCATATTATAGCATGTGACAGATTTCCTATTTTTAGCACTGAATAATATTTTACTGTAAATATATATCACATTTTCTTTATCCATTCCATGCATCCGGCAGGGTTGCTTCTACCTCTTGGGTATTGTATATAATGCTGCAGTGAACATAGGGTGCTGACAACTCTTAAGACCTTGCCTTCAGTTCTTTTTCTTTTTTTGTTTAATATTTACTTTTCTTTTTTAGGTTTAGATGGACACAACACAATGCCTTTATTTTTATGTGGTGCTGAGGATTGAACCTGGGTCCCGCCTGCGCTAGGTGATCGCGCTACCCCTGAGCCACAATCCCAGCCCCGCCTTCAGTTCTTTTGGATATATTCAGAAGTGAGATTCACTGGATCATACAGTAATTCTATTTATAATTTTTTGAGGCCCCTCCATACTGTTTTGCCTAGTGGTTGTACCTTCTCACATTTTCATCAATAGTACACAAGGGTTCCAATTTCTCCACAGGATCACATCTTTGGAATTAACTATGAGATTTGTGTTTGCTTTTTGTTCAAAAGTATCAAAAACATTAACACATTAATTTCATTCACTCTAGCCCAGGAAGGGTGTTGATATGGGATGAATGGTCTCTCGACTGAGAAGGGCTGACATATAAGATAATTTACTAATGGGGCAGTGCAAGCTAGCTGCCCAGATTTGGGATGACCTTGGATTCTTTCTCTTTTGTTCAGTCATACTCTTCCATTATCTACCTTAAAGGTAGGAGTAACTAAGGCTTTACTGTACTAGATGGAGTGAGGCCAAGATGTGGGCATCATATAAGGTTCATCAGACATATTGCAAATGTTGCATATTGCAAACATTATTGTTTTGAATATAGAGTTGTGAATATAATGGGAATTAAGAGCATAGACTCTAGAACCTGATTGCCTGGGATGAATCTGGGTTCCTCTAACTACTTTTTTTTTTCCTCTAGCTACTTTCTATATGATCTTGAACAGATTTCTTAATTTTTCTAGGCCTCAGTTTCCTTATTCAAAAAATGGTAATGCTAACAGCACCCACTTCCTAGAGTTCTTAGAATTAAATAAATTAATATTAAGTTCTTGGTAAGTGCTGTGGAAGTGTTTTGTTAGATAAAATAAAGGTCCAATCTTGCCTCTCTTGTGCCCTGTCCTGTGAGAGTGGTCTGGTGTCCCTGGGGTGCTCTAACATTAGTTGGTGTGAGCTTTAGATGCTACTAAACAGTCCCCGTCCCTCGGTGGGATAGGTGTGTCACAGGTGAATGTTAGACATCTCCATGGGGTAGCAGTGACGGTAAGCTGTGTGGTAGAACGTCGGACAGAAGTGTTCCAGCACATCCCTGGGTGTGGAGGGGACTCTACTTAGTGCTTCATAACAGGTGCCACGCACGTCACGAACGGGGCAGGTTCTGTCAGCTCCCTGCTTTTAGGTTGGGGTGTGAGGCACTAGAAGACAGCAGGGACCTCAGGCCCGCGGTGTGTGACGGCGGCGGGGCTGGCACCTCAGACAGAACGTGGCTCCCACACCTGTCCGGGCGGTGGGAACTAACTCCCGCGCGCGTACGACGGGTTGTCCCAAACCTTTCGGGCCAGCGCGCCCGCCGCGGCAAGCGCGCGTGTGTGCTGCAGGACTGTCGGTCCGCACCACCTCCGGGCAGCGACTCCTGCGAGCGCGGTGCACGTCGTAGGAGGTGTCGTTACACACTTCCTGTGGGTCTCGCCGACCACGGCGCGCTTCCGGTGCCGGCTGGAGCCCGGGGTCCGAGCCCCCGCCCCGCGCCCGGCCCCGCCCCGCCCGCGCCCCGCCCCCCGCGCTCCGAGCCGGGCGCGCGGAGCCCGGGGCGCGAGGAGCGGCGCACGCTGGTGGCCGAGCCAGGCTGGCGCCCGTACCCCCCGCCAGCACCGCCTTCTGCCGCCCGCGGGCGCTTTCTTCGTTCCACTTGCCTTTGGTGCCCGGCCCTCCGGCCGCCCTCCTGCCCCCTCCCCTCCGTCCCGCCCCGTCCAGCCGGGGCTGCCCGGCTCCCGCAGGCCCCCAGCCGCCCGCGTTCCTATGGACAGACGCACAGACACCTGCAGGTGGGTGAGAACCCGCGCGCGGGGCGGGGACTAGCGCGCCGACGCGGCGACCCGGGCAGGGAGCCCCTTTGTGTGGGGGCGGCCGCGCAGTGACCCGGCTGAACCCTCCTTTTGTCTCCTCTGGGGGAGCGAGGCCGGAGCGAGGGCACGGACCCGCGCGGCCGGACGTCGGCGGCCGCGGGCTTGGGGTTCTGGATCTGGGGGCGGAGACCGGGCGGGCGGGAACGCTCGCGAGCGGGCGGCGGCGTTTCCCGGGCCAGGCGCCTGGCATCTCCCGTGGCCGCCGCGGTCGCGCTGCTGGGGTCTGGCTCCCTGCTCCTGCTCGCGGGTCTGAGGAGGTGGGAAGGAGGGCGGGAAGGAGGAGAAGAGGTCTGCCCTCCTACTTTCCAAGTCCGAGATGGTCATGGAGAAAGAGAGGTGGTTCAGGGCTTCGTGGGACTTGTTTCCCTTCGCGGAGGCTCGCCGAGGTGCGTTTGGGGCGTGTGTGAAGGAACGTGCACCGCTGCGCTCCCTTATTTATTGTTTCTAACGGAGGAGGGCTTTCTCCGAAAGGCTCTTCCGTCCCCCACCCCCATCTGAGGCTGCGCACAGTGATTTGTGTTTGTTATCAAATATATCAAGGAACGTAGTCCCCTGGGTAGGAGGAGGTTGGGCTGACCAACATCACATCAAAATAAGACCCAAATCACAGACTGCTTTTGGCTTTCTGTAGCCAATTTTTTGAAAAAGATTAGATTGATACTTGGAAAAATGAGTGTGATTACGATTTTTACGATTACATTTCTGTTTTTGTTTTGAAGTTTTGGAGTAAAGTTTTGTCCCCCCCCCCCCCTTCCCGCCACACACACACTGTTAGGATTAACATGAGAATATGGTACTGTTACAGACGAGACAGGTAGTGACAGCCTCCATGGTGGGGGTTATGTTGGAATGCAATAAGCAAGGTTCTAGTCTAACGTTTAGGCTAAAAATCCTCCCTTCACTGGTTGAAGATATGAGATCTTTCACATATGGGGAGAACGTGAATATTAGAATTGAGTTTTTCCCCCTGTGATTATACTTCCCTTATTTTATTGAATGCATTTATATATTCTGTGAAGATAACCAAAGATGAAGTTGTTATGTATAGTATTTTGAAAAGTACCGTAGGGTGATATTTCTGATCTCTTAGATGGCTAAGTTGTTTTGTAAACAGTTGCTATATATTTGTAGTTGCTGAAATAATAAATGAAGTTCAGTAAGCATCCAGAAAATGAATTTGACGGATTCAGATTTTTAATGTAGGTGTGGAGTTTTATCTTTATATTAATCTCAATCTGATGCTTAGTTCTGGAAACTTTTTTCTTTTACTATATGAGAATTCATATCGACAAACTTAAATCTGACAGTTACCAAGGAGATTTTTTTTTTAAGCAGTTTTGAGGAGCAAAATTGGACAATTATAGGTACAGGCATTTGGAGCAAGTGGAGTTTTTTTTCAGAAAAGCATTATCATCTGAACTTGAAGGGAAAAAAGTAGAAAAATACTTGTTATTTAAATTTCCATCAAGTAAGGTGAAGAAATTAATCAGAAAAATACAATTTAATGCATTTTTATCTAGGCAAACTAATTTTTGTTAGTATACCAAAGTTTAATAGTATACCAAAGTTTAATATGCCTAAAATAGTGATCTTTTTCTAGGAGAAAATTTTATCCTCAGTTCTGCCCCAATTACATTAATAGATTAATATTATCATCATGACTCATTTTATAAATGCCTGACTGTACATTAGTACACACTTTACTTAAAACCCAGAATAGGCTTCATGGAACAATGACCCAGCAAACCTCTTTGAGGTGATCAAATTTTATAGATCTTGCTGTGACTTCCGGTCTAGATTAGGCAAATAAATTTAAACTCTGCACAGAGCTTAATGAGTGGCTCTGGTAGGGCCCTTGACCAATGTTCTTCCCACACCCCTTTACATTATGAATAGTCCAAAGAGGAGAGATACTAAAATTATGTGTGGCTTTATCATGAATTGTGGAAGGGAGTTCTAGACCATTCTCAGAATTCTGGCTCTTAAGCTGGTTGAAGTACTAAAAAAGATAAGCTAACAAATTGAATTGCTTGTTTATGCATTTACCAGACTGTCAGTGGTAGTGATAAGATTTAACAAAGAATCACTGTGTAAACTAAACATTAACAAAGTGTGGCCTGTATTGAGAATTGGTTTGGGAAATTGTAGTTGCGCCTGACAGTTTTCTTGATCAGCACTATGGTGCCTTTATGTGGCCTAAAAGATAATATCTAGTTTTTAGTTTGTTTTTTTTTTTATTGATATGTAAATACTATTTTAGATGTTTGTGTTATAATATTTTGATATAATCAGAAACATCCTAGAAAATATTACATACATTCAACTTATTTCCCATTTGGTAATTGGTGTTCAGGAAGGGATATAAATTATCTTCCTTTTTTAAAAAATTATTTTTTATTTTTAGGTGGACACAGTATCTTTATTTTTTATTTTTATGTGGTTCTGGGGATTGAACCCAGTGGCCTCATGGGTGCTAGGCAAGCACTCTACCACTGAGCCACAACCCTAGCCATATCTTCCATTTTTCACAGGTCAATTTTTTTCCTGTTGCTTTTTACATTTTTATAAATAATATTTCCAGAAAATTTTGGATTTGTGTAAAATTGGATTTTAAAATACAGCTGACGTGAGATTTTTAAGACAACACTAAGCTGTCTACAATTACATTTTTTTTAATATTTATTTTTCAGTTTTAGGTGGACACAATATCTTTATTTTTATTTTTATGTGGTGCCGAGAATTGAACCCAGTGCCTCACTCATGCTAGGCGAGCGTGCTACCACTTGAGCCACATTCCCAACCCCTGCAATTAAATTTTATCAGCTTTAAAATCCATAGATTTTTCTGGCATTTTCTTCTTTGTTAATTACCAATATATTGCTGATACTATTAAAGGATACTTTAAAAATAGCCACTTTGATAACTGGAACTATCAAATGATTAGTGTTAGTATTGGTAATAATCAAATAGAAAACTGGAAAGTAACAGTTTTGTTCTTTATAATAGATCTTTGACTTTCAAGTCCTTTTTTCATGTTGTTTTTATAGCTGGATGGGGAAGTAGGTCTGACCTGAGAGGTGTGGAAGTCAACTCTTATTCCAGCTTCTTTTAACCTGCATTGTTTAAAAACAGCAAGAGCCCAGGCTGCTTGCTGAAAATGCAGAATTCATTCTTGGATTAATATTCTGGTACCAGATGTATGAGGCTGGCTCCAAAGAAGCTTTTTCTTTTAAATACTGTCAAAAATAGAGAAGCTGAAGATTGGAGAGAAGCCATTTATTTTGAACAGTTTATTTTATGACAGTTTGTGTTTGTAAAGAAACCTGCTCATAATATTTACTTAAGAGATCTACATAGTTGCCCAAAGAAGCCCTACAGGTTTCTCTTTTTTCTTTAAAAAAGTTTCCATAGAGCTTAACTCTTATGTGATACTTCCTGACTTTGCTTCTGATTAGTTGATTTATGGACTTTATTTACCAGCATGATTGGAGAATTCTTTTGCTAGACTGAAATTGCACTCTGCCTGGGCTCTGGTCTGTTTCCTAGGTAACAAATGCACTGCATAGATTCCATAATGAGGACTGTGGTTGGCTAGTTACTGTGTAAATTCTGTTGTTTGGTAAAGCTTAGTCTCAAATTCAAATAAAGGTCAAGAAAGCAAAAGTACTGAAAATGCAAATTTTGAAATTTTATTTTGTATCCAGTGCCAACAAAGTTTAATGCGCTTTTTCAGAGAATTATACAGCAGCATTTAAGTTTGTTTTGCAAAGTCTTACACTTAAACAGTTGGAGAGCTTTTTCAATATTTTGTACTGTTAATGCTAATGGCACTAGTGACAAAGAGGATATATTTCAGAACATGTTATCATTCATGCAAATACTATAGAAAACAAAGGGATGGTGTGATATCAGTGATAGTTTTACACTGAAAGGGAAGCAATATATATCTCAAAAGGAAAAAATTGTACAACTTCAGGTGAAATGTAACTTTAAAAATATTGATGTTAAAACGTTAAGGAAACTTTTAAAAACATTAAAAATCTCACCATAAAATGATACATTTGTACGCTAGCCTTTTTTTTTTTTTTTTTACTTCTGATTTGCCTGAACTTTGATGGGCCTGGAACCAAGGAGCAGGTTTCCCTTATTGTAATTCCAAGTTAGAGAATATCTTTCATCTCTACCCTACTCTTCTGTTGAGATCTATAGCTTCTATCATTCTAGGTGAAGGTCCAAAGTAGTATGTGTGGAATTGCTAATAACTATTAAATGTTTGTTTAAAAAAAAAAAAAAAAGGAAGAAAAGAAACCTACAAAAACCCAGAATTTCACTAAAACCCTTTTTAAATGCCTTTTGACTTGATGTCTCAAATTTTTTTTTTTGTTAATCATTAAGGATTCTCTTGGCTCAAATATTAAAACACAACTCTTTAATTCCAGAGAATTATCCAAATTTGTCCCCATTAATTTCTCTCGCTTGACCAGATTGATTTTGAATTATTCATTTATTTTTTAGTTGGATTTTCTTTATCTTCTTGATTTTCCTCAAAGCTGACACTGCTTATATTTCTATCCTTTTCTAATTGTAAATATTGTATCCTTTCACATTTTTCTTATTTTTTCCATTGTAAATATTTGTTATGATTTTTAGATTTTATGATTGCATTGGGTAAGGCATAATCCCACCTATAAAACAACGTATTTTATTTTGGGAATTCATATTTTTAGGATAGAGTTAATAATATTTGTGGATTCTTATCCAGTTAGGACACTTCCTCTCCCCAGCCTACGTTCATTTGGTAAGGCTGCCATACCAAAGTTTCACACACTGGGTGGCTTAAACAACAAAAATTTCTTTTCTTTTCTTTTTAAAAATATTTTTAGTTGTAGATGGACATGATACCTTTATTTTATTTGTTT